GTCTGTGTATCTATCTGTGAGCATTCCTCCTTATTTCCAGGTTGAATCTCTCCTTGTTCGGTTTCCATCCATTGATCCTTGCCTGGCCTTCAGGTGCTTTGGAAAACAGCTCGACCCCCTTTCTCCTCTCTGTGGCAGCCCCTTAAATATTGGAACGCTGCTCTCCTGTCTCCCCTGGTCCTTCCCTTCACAAGACTAGCCATGCCTGGTTCCTGCTTCAAATGGTCCTGCTTGATTAAGAAGGGTCTCTGATCATGGTTAGAGGTAGGGAACCTGGGCCTGCCTCCCTCCCGCACTCAGCCGCTGCAGCTTTGGAGGAAAAGCCGTTTCAGCCTCCAAACTGGCCAAGCCCCTCCCGCAGCTTCTGGGGCTGCACCAGAGCGGAGAGCATTTGATTTTGCATCTGATTCTGATTAGGCTGTATTGCCACTGATGATAATGGCCCAAATTGCATTGATCTTTAACAACAACAAAAAAAAGAAAACTAATAAATTCTACGGACCACCATTGAAGGGGGAGTAATGAAATGCAGCTGTTGGAATTAAAAAATCCTTTCTTGGACTCGGGAAGCTTGGGTGAGGCCTTGGGAGGAGAATCTCCTCTGGGGAAAGCAATGCTTAATTTTATTTTATTTTATTTTATTTTAAAAAAGGCCATTCTCACTCATCTCTGACCTACCGGGTGTTAGGTGGGAGAAGTAGAATGCTTCCCAGCAACAGATAAATAGCTCCGGCAGCTTTTTTTCCAAAATGGATGATAATATGAATATACTCTTTAGCCTCTCCCCCCCTTGTCTTTCCAGATCCTCCATTGATGCAACCAAGCGGACAGTCAACTCGAACGCAGAGCAAACCCTGTCTGGACGCCACTCCTTCCCTCTCCCGCCAGCCTAGACAGAAGATGCAAGATCACAAAGCAGAGAGAAACATGAGAATGGCCTGTTTTTATGACTCTGTAATATCTTAAATTTTGGATAGAATACGGGCGACTGGATGGAGCTGAACATGAGAATTGGAGGAGAAAAAAAAATCATGGATGGACGGATGGAAGGAAGGAAGGAAGTCGGTCATGGAAAGAAGGGAGGGAGGCAGGGAGGGAGGACAAGGAAGGAAGGAAGGAAGGAAGGAAGGAAGGAAGGAAGGAAGGAAGGAAGGAAGGAAGGAA